ACTTGTATTATTTTAAAGTTACTGCGCATGTGGTCTCCCATGATTTTCCTTAATTGGCCACTGGAGAAGGGGGTTACAATATGTTAATTTATTATAATACTATTATAATGAAGCAGGGGTCATGTAGCATCTTCTGTGCAGGTGCATTTATGAATTATCATGATTCAGTGCTTTTCCAGAAAGCACAAACAACCCGTCTTAGAACAGGGTCTCTTTCCTGTATGGATGTCCTTTATCTCAGCCCTGGGGCATTTCCGGAGTTTCCTCCTTCCTGACTATCTCCTGCCTCAGAGTTATACAAATGATATTTACAAAGAAAAAAACAATAAAATACCAATATACCCAAGTGAGATGCTTGGTAGAGACAAACCACAGTCAGGGGCATTGGCAGGGGTAGGGCTGGGAGCCAGGGATCAGGGGCTGGATGGCTCCTCACAGGCTCCTGGCTGACAGTCAGCTTCATCCCACCCCAAGACCCAGAGTCCAGTCAGACAAGGAGCACCGACCCTGCCAGCAGGGGCCGAACACCTCACAGCCCTGATCCCAGGTGCTCCACTGTCAGAAGGAGGAGGCCGCAGTGGCTGTGAGAGGCTGTGCCAGGACGGCACACCCTCAGGCCCTGAGTCTGGCTGTCAGCCCTACAGGGCTGGGAGTGGAGCCAGATCAGGCCTAGAGTGTCCTCTGCTGCCAGTCCTCCCTACCACCAGCACCTCCTTGTCACAGCCCCTCTGACTGTGTTTCTGAGGGGGGCAAATTTCTCCATCCTGAGGCAGACCTGTGCAATCTTAAGTAGAGTCCAACTGGAATGTCCAACAGCCCCAGGTGAGACCCTCACATCTGTTTGTCACCTTGAGAGCAGTGCTGGGTTTACTGCTCCGGACCATTTAGATGAGACAGTAGTGTCCAGACATGCTTTCACATTTCTGTCACTGGAACAAGGGCACAAACTCCTGCCATTCTCTGTGTCCTGGCATCTCTGTCTTGGGATGAAAGAACACAAACTGTGGCTTCATCCAGAGTGGGGAGGGCTTCCTAACTGTAACAAGGCCCGCAGTAGTGGCCTCCCAGTTCAAAAGAAACTGACTTCTGCTCTCCTACCTCCCAGTCTCTGGGACAGGATGATTGTGATCCTGGAAGTGCAGGAGCCCCTCTCTACCAGGAGGACAAAACTCAGGCCCAGGGAGACAGAGCAGAAAGACAGCTGAAGCTGTGTGCCTGGCGCTGCTGCTGGGCTGCCTGGCAGCCGGGCCTCTGGGCCTGGATTTTATGCCAGAGTCTTAGTGCAATTGTGCTCTCGAACCATCTTGCTGACATTTCTGGGCATGTGGCTGAAGGTGTTTCTGCCTCAGATTTGAGACCGTGCAGGTAAAACATGCTGCACACGCTGCTCAGTAACCTGTAACTGATGTTTCTTCTTGGGCAGCCAAGACTCTGAGACGAGATCTGAGAACTTGGCTGCTCTGGCTGATGTCTGGACAAGTACTGACCACAGGGAAGCTCACGCATCTCCGTGGCTGGACTGTCACAGGAAGGATGCGTGTGCCTATCTCTGATGCCACTGTGATGGGAATTTGTGGTTGGAGTCAGAGCCCCTCTCCTGACCCCAGGGCAGCCACATCTGGATTGTGTCATGGGCTCTGCCTGCTTCACTTGTCTCCCCATTTGAGTCACTGCCCAGGCCAGAGATGGCTGCCCCTACCCTGGGACAGAGAGTTGGTCAGTGTGTCCCAATGAGGCCCAGAGGGTTCTAATGAGCCATCTGGCTGAGGACCACAGGCCCAGGCAACACTTCGGCTCAACACAGTGACACACAAGCCACCAGTGAACACAGTTCATGAGATGTGTGCTGGCCCCTGCTGGACACGGTCAGGCTGGAGATGGGAGGGTGGCTGTTGCTGTCAGTGTGAGTCCAGCTGTCACTGTAGAATTTAACTCATCACCTTGGAGGCCGTCACCTTGAACCATCGGGCTGTTCATGGGCACGCTCTTTAGACAGACACACGGTACTCCGCTCTGGGGATCAGAGGCAGGTTGGGCTCATCCATCCAGGGCCACCCACAGAGCAGATGAGGAGCCCCTGAAGCACCCACCTAGGACCATCCTCTCCATTAAACCACCAGCTTCTGGGCAAGGGCAAGAAGCTTGGAATCCATCAGATATCAGGCTGCAGTCACTTCTTGGAGCCTCCACTTCAAAACAAGGATGGTGGTTGCCAGCCACTGCCAGGTGGGCAAGGGGTGTGTGTAAATACCCAGCTCCCTGCACAAGGTAGTCTGAGGTTGTGTGAACTATACAAGCAAGGCTGAAACAAGTCTCTTTCTGACTTAGCTTTGAGAGCCACACAGCATTTTCACAACACAGATCAGCTCGGTTATGTGGAGGGACTGTACAAGGGCATGTGCATTTGGGGGGTACCTTGGACGCTGGCAGCTACACTAGGGATGTGGTTTGCTGCTGAAGGAGAGGGAGAGGGAACAGACCTCTCGACTCATCTTGAATCACTAAGCCTTCTGGGAGAACTCGAGTCTGTCCTGGTGTTGGGGGTGGTGAGCATCACCTGGCAATCTGTGCGTTCCCCTCCCCACTGTATCTCAGTGCCAGCCCCTCTGCCAGCATTACACCAGGACTCTGCCCCTCTCCCATGGCCCATGCTGAAAGCCACAGAATATTGAGTTTATGGTGTTCTTTCTGGGCTGTGGTATTGGGGGAGAAACAGGGAAGGGAAACAAAACCCAAGAAATACACCTTCCTTTAAAAAAAGCATAAAAGGAAATAATAGTGGATACTTATTATTGAAATCCACATAGTTTATGTAGACACTATTCTTCACAAGCCTGGCACTGGGAGGACAGAGGGGTCATCGTTCCAGGTCATGGGGGTGGGTGTCCCCCTTTGGTGAACCCAGTCCAGCAGGAACAGGGTGGGTCATACTTAGGTCTCCGTCATGCAGGAGAGGGTATGATGGGGTCCTTGCTAATTGCCATTTCTCTGTATTGAACTCAGGTGTGATTCTAAGAAAAGTGTGACCTCTGAGAGCTGTTAGCACCTTTCCTTTTGCGTATGCAGATGCAGATGTTTACCCCGTTCTCACCTTGAGTCTTGCTGGACTCCTACCATTGGGTCCACTGGAGTTTTGTCCTCCTGGCCCATTGTGGACATTATCTGGGAATAGGTGGCCAGGAATGAACAACATTGTGCATGTCCATTATCCCATCAAGGCTTGACCTCACAAACAAAAGTGCAAAGATACAGTAAATACTAATTTTGAGATGGTGTCAGTGGTGTATTAAGCCCTGTGGGACCCAGGTACAAGGAAAATGCTTTATAGAAGCTCCTGTGTTGCAGGCTTCATGAATGCCATATGCAGATTGGGTGCACCTGTCACAGGAGAAACTTGGTCCTTCTTGCCAATGTAGTATAGGATTACAGATCAGCAAGTGTATTAGTGTGCAAGCAGGGTTTGTTAGTGATACGTTCTCATGGAAGAGGACAGGTCTTGCTGAGATGGGAGTGAAAGGCAAGAAGTTGGGTGGCAAGAGCACCAGGTCCTTTGTCCTGAGGACTTACATAGTTGGTGGGATGGGGGCAAAGAAGTTACATATTGATTGACGGGTAAAAGTGGTACCAACTTCCATGGGGGATGAGACTACTCAAACGTAGGTATGTGTGGGGGTCATTAGCCCAAATCCTTATCTGGCTTCAGACCCCATTTCATCATCTTGTAAAATTGATATGAGACGGGAGACAGTTAAAGCAGTTACCCAAAGTTATCTATGGGCTCTTTCTGTAAACATTAGGGACTCTTCATAATACAGATAGTGGACAGAGGCAAATGGTTAGCCAATTTTGTTTTATGGGTCCTTTCCTTGAGTGCTGTGGACACCCTCCCATCTTCTAGGCCTTGGGATAAATAGTTTCAAAGCCTTTCTTTCCCACATGGTGGAAATGATACCTAGAATTTCAATGTATTAGCATGCTGTTTCTTGTGATGCTGGACCATCTGACAATAGAATTAGACCAGGCTCAGGACTGCTGAGTTAGTGGGTGACACATGTCTTCCTCATCCTCCTGCCTTGGCTAACCATCTATCCTACCTAACACACCAGTGCAGGCAGATATTGCTCCCAGTGTCAGTTCTCAGCAAGGGGTGGGTGAGGGTCTTGTTTCACAGGATATTTTCAGTACCACCCACCTGTGTTGAAGAGGCTCTAAGGGTGCACAAGCTCAGTGAGAGGGTGGTAATCTGGAGGGAGGCACATCCCCCACCTCAGGCCTCCTTCTCAGGGCAGCTGAGTCTATGTGGGGAAATCAGTGGGGTCTGCTCAAAATCTGCGTTTGGCTACAGATCCCTACCCTGTCCTTATCTTCCTTTGTCTAGCACTAAAGACCCAGAAGACACGGGCACTGATGTTCAGCGGGACTTGTGATCTCAGCAATCCACTTGCCAGATTCTGCCTGTGCTGACTCAAATTTGAATGTCAAACCGAAAGGCTCGAGTTCCCATTTCCAGTGTACAGACTAGGAATCAGGCAGAGAAGTTGAATCTTGCCTTAGGTCACACAGCTGGAGAAGACAGAGCTGAGACTCACACCCACTATGGACTGATGTGGAATCTGTATGCTGTGCACCAGGAAATGCTGACCCTGAAGGGACAGCAAGGAGAGTGAGGAAGACCAGGTGCCCAGACTGAGGTAGGCTCACATCCACGCACAAGCATACATCCCTCGCTGCCGTTCACCTCTGAGGCTCCGAGGTTGTAGGAAACTAGGAAAAGAGCCAACGGAAGCCAAGGGAGGAGGGTAGGGAGCCTATTAGGAGAAAAGGCCCCACTTCCCAGGAGTCCGGGGAATTCCTTTCTCTGATGAATCTGTCTCAAATCTCTCTCTCTGGGCAGTAACCAAAGTAGATTGACTCCAGGCTTACCTACTTGTAGGGGTTGAATTTCTGTGGCTGAGAGTATGAGTTCTTTGTGGCTCTTCCTGAACTCTCTACTTTCAGTGATGGGGGAATGAGGGATGTGGGCTTCATATTTGTATGGAGACAATACTCTTTAGAAAAGGACATCAAAAAACCATGAAAGAGATTGGTGCTGATATCCCCATATTACTCATGAAACTGTCCATCTCATCTCTTGTCATAAAACCTGGAGGGTTTGTTTAACCAGTTACTTCGGTACTAATTACAATCTTGGGGAGAGTAGGTTCCATAGACTTCTTAAGGCTATTGACATGTGATTTAGTGGTAATGATTCATTCACTTCACCTGCAAACACAGGGCTTCTCCCCTGAGTGTGTCCTCTGGTGTGTGATGAGAGCTGACTTGCATGTAAAGCCTCGCCCACACTCCCTGCAAACATAAGGCTTCTCCCCTGAGTGTGTCCTCTGGTGTGTCGTGAGATGTGACTTGTCTCTAAAGCCTCGCCCACACTCCCTGCAAACATAGGGCTTCTCCCCTGAGTGTGTCCTCTGGTGTCTGATGAGATGTGGGTGCTGTGTGAAGCCTCGCCCACACTCCCTGCAAACATAGGGCTTCTCCCCAGAGTGTGTCCTCTGGTGTGTGGTGAGATGTGACTTGCATGTAAACCCTTTCCCGCACTCCCTGCAAACATAGGGCTTCTCCCCAGAGTGTGTCCTCTGGTGTGTGATGAGAACTGACTTGCATGTAAAGCCTTTCCCGCACTCCCTGCAAACATAGGGCTTCTCCCCTGAGTGTATCCTCTGGTGTGCAATGAGAGCTGACTTGCACGTAAAGCCTCGCCCACACTCCCTGCAAACATAAGGCTTCTCCCCTGAGTGTGTCCTCTCGTGTGTCGTGAGATGTGACTTGCATGTAAAGCCTCGCCCACACTCCCTGCAAACATAAGGCTTCTCCCCTGAGTGTGTCCTCTGGTGTCTGATGAGATTTGACTTATGTGTAAAGCCTCGCCCACACACTCTGCAGCAAACATAGGGCTTCTCCCCAGAGTGTGTCCTCTGGTGTGCGATGAGAGCTGGCTTGCATGTAAAGCCTCGCCCACAATCCCTGCAAACATAGGGCTTCTCCCCTGAGCGTGTCCTCTGGTGTGCAATGAGAGCTGACTTGAATGTAAAGCCTCGCCCACAATCCCTGCAAACATAGGGCTTCTCCCCTGAGTGTGTCCTCTGGTGTGTGATGAGAGCTGACTTGCGTGTAAAGCCTCGCCCACACACTCTGCAGCAAACATAGGGCTTCTCCCCTGAGTGTGTCCTCTGGTGTATGGTGAGGTGTGACTTCCGTGTAAAGCCTCGCTCACACTCCCTGCAAACATAGGGCTTCTCCCCTGAGTGTGTCCTCTGGTGTGTGACGAGATTTGACTTTTCTGCAAAGCCTTTCCCACACTCCCTGCAAACATAGGGCTTCTCCCCTGAGTGTGTTCTCTGATGTGCGATGAGGTTTGACCCCCGTGTAAAGCCTCTCCTGCACTCCCTGCAAACATAGGGCTTCTCCCCTGAGTGTGTCCTTTGATGTCTGAAGAAATGTGACACATCATTGAAGCCTTGCCAACACCCTCCGTGCTGCATTGTTACAATTCTTGACATTCTTACTTTCACAAGTAACTTGCCTGCACCCTCTGGACTCTCTTTCTGGCCTCTGTGGGGCTCTTCCTCCATCATTCTCTCATGCTCACTGGAGCTCCTCATTTGTTCTTTGGAAGCTTGGAAAAAGGGTCTTGAGATTCTCCTCTGACTGATCCCTTTAAGCAAAAGTTTGGACTTTTCTTTGACCTCTTGACCTTCAGCTTTATCTTTCCAGCTGTGTGTATTAGTATGTTGCTGCTGCTGATTTTGATCCTCTGGATAGTGTTCCTCTGTTAGGAGGTGTTGTCTTGCAGATGTTCCTGGGAGAATCTGAGAGGGATGATTGAGTTTCACGTGTTTGCTGAGGAATTTCTGACTGGAGAAGGCCAGAGAGCAGGAGGGGCATGGGTGGATCTCTGTGTTTGGTTCCGCTGAAAGAGAAAGGTTTGGTCAGGACAGATGTTCATGAGAATGCCTGGGCCCTATGATTAGTCTCCTGGTAAGACCTGCCCCACGAATCCTTCTTATTGTGGTGACAACACAAGCTCTGTCTCCCATAAAGTGTCCACTCGCAGTCTATCTTCCTTTTTACTTTTAGCAGTGCATCTTCTTCAGAAATTCAGAAAGCCCATATCAAGGGTCTTTTCTAATAATGCCCAGACTAGGGACTTTTGAGTAGCATGAAAGGCCATTTCACTCCCTGAACTGCAGTGATTTTCCCCCTCTACAGGTATCCTCTACGTCATGTTAAAGAAGAAAACTAGAAATTGCTTCTCTTTTCAGTTTTTCAAAACAATAAAATAAAGTGTCTTTCCTGCCTGTGTTCATGTGGTTCAGTGGACTGAGTGCCTGCCTGTGAAGCAAGGACTCACAAGTTAGATTCCCAGTCAGAGCGCCTGCCTGGGTTGTAGGCCAGGTCTCTAGTAGCGGGTGTGTGAGAAGTAACCACACATTGATGTTTCCCTCTCTTCCTTCCTCTTCTCCTCTAAAAATAAATAGGTAAGATCTTTAAAAAAGTCATTCCTCAAGCCTCACACCAAATATTTATGCTTTATTTCATTCAGTTGTTAGTCCATTTCAAATACACTAAGTCCTGTTTCAAAATATTTCTCCAACCACACATCTTACACGCCTGACTCCTGTTCCTCTCTGGCCAATCCACCATGTGCTCTCACTTGGAGATGAAGTGATCTCTGAGGGGATTCCCCACTGGGGTTTATTTTCTAAAAATTAACAAATCATAATCAGAACAGAGAACACACCACTCTGCAGGTGACGACTGCACTTGCACTGAGAAAAGTCCCCAGTGTCTCAATTGGGATCATTGACACTGCACTTCCGAGCTGCTAAGTATCTATCTGAATTCAGTTCTTACCCTCCATGCTGAGACCTGAGTGACCCTCAGGCAATCCAATGCCACACTTCTTTTCTCCCCTGCACTAGCTGCTCCCTCTGCCTGGGATCCTCTGCCCGCAGGTATTTTTGTAAATGTTATCTCCGGAGAGAGCCCTTCCCAGACCACCTGCCACAGCGCACCTCCCCTCACACTGACCCCTAGGCACTTGTCCTGGATTAGTTTTCTCCAAAGCACTAACCACTGTGTGGTGTTATGCACATGCAAGCACGTGTGCCTGCGTTTCCCTCCTTTATTGGTCAGCTCAGGAGCAGTGATTCTCATCTTCATGTTAATCTGTATTTCCAGGTCTGAGGACCCTGTGTGCCACAGAGTAGGATCTCACCTGACAGTTTATTGAAATAATGAACGAATGTGCCCTGCCTGAATGGTGTGGCTTGCTGGGTTGGGTGTTGTCTGAAAACTGAAAGGTTACAAGTTTGATTCACAGACAGGGAACATGCCAAGGTTGTGGGCCAGTTGGGGGTGTGCCAGAGACATCCGATTAATGTTTCCCTTGCACATTGATTTTTCTTTCTCCCTCCTTTCCTCTCTCTGTGAAAATAAATAAAATCTTGTTTAAAAATACTTGATTTATGTATTTATTTTCAGAAAAGGGGGGAGGAAGGGACAGGGAGAGAAACATCAATGTGTGATTGCCTCTCACATGCCCACCTACTGGGGACCTGGCCCGAAATCCAGGCATGTGCCTCGACTGGGAATCAAACTGGCAGCCCTTTGGTCCACAGGCTGGTGCTCAATCCTCTGAGCCACACCAGCCAGGGCAAAATCTTTAAAAAATAATGAATGCCTATAAACAAAAAAGTTTTATTTAGAAGTATGGAGGAAAATTAAGAAACAGCTGTAAAAGTGTCAGAAAAACTGCCTTTTTTTGAGAGAACTAGTTAATGCTTGAAAACTTTTTTTTGCCTCTCAGTATTTCAGTACTATATGCGGTTGTGTATTTTGTTCATGAAATATTTTAAAAAATAAAAAATATAAAAATTTTGCCTAAGAGTCAAAGGCATATGAATGAATTGTGAATTTCTGAAGCATCTGACTTGAAACTGTAATGACTTTAGAGTGGATTTTACTCTACTTGGGAGTTGGATCATGAATATTTCTATGGAGAATTCTCTCTTTTCTTTCTGTTTTGAAGAACAGTGGTGCCCACCTCTCCTGGCTGCGAGCTCTGTCTTCCACTTGCTGCCCCACTTGCTGCCCAGCTCCTGGCCATACTCATCCCCGAACCAGACTAGCAGTTCACACCCCGGTCTGACGACCCGGCAGGTTCGGTAGAAAATCTGCCTGTGATATTGAAAGGCCACCAGGTTCTGCTCTTCATCATCCCGGGCACAGTTCACATACCTGGGATTGAGGCAGATGAAGGGAAAGAAAGAAAAACACAGTGATGAGATTCCACTACCTGTTACATCCATGTTCTTCTCCTCACTGATTCTTAAGGCTCTCAGGCTCTGATGTTGCCCACTGCCCCTCATACTCCCGGGGAACCTCTGTTCACTGTCTGAGCGTCCGTCAGCATGTCATGTGAACTTCTATCTCCAAGTCCTGTTTGCAATGCTAATGTTGCCTAATACCATTTTCTAAAACCCATTTCTAGACTTAACATCCACTCTGATGGGCCATAATATCCAGTGATCTCTGGCTGCTCCATGCTCTACATCAAGTTCTGCTCAACAGAACCTGGTGCTTGATCTAGGGCTCTGCTTCTAAATTAACTCAGTAATTATCCAGTGCTCAGTCCACATCTGTTTTCTCTTGAGAGGCCTTTCTCCACCCCCCCCTACACTTTATTTAGGGTACCATTCACTTGCCTGCCCAAGGTCACTGTAGAAAATTGGAGGTCTTTTTCTCTTAGTAAAATAAAACACAAAAATAGTAGTTGATTCACATTCTATTAACTCTGATAAAAGAGAGCCCCTCTCAGGAAAGGGGCCCATGACTGTTCCTCTGCAGGACTCAGAGCTCAGCTCTAGTTAGAAGTCAGGCTGGGGACTTCCGGCAAGATGGAGGAATAGGTGGACGCACTGTACCTCCTCGCACAACCAAGATTAGAACAACAATAATTTACAGACAGAATAACACTCAGAACTGACAGAGGATTTATCTGAATGGAAGTTGGACAGCCAAGAAGTTGAAGTAGACCCCTACATCCAGACTGGTAGGAGACAATGAGCCGGGCGGGCGCGGGGCTGGCGCGGGTCGGTGGCGCGCGGGAGGTTGGGGAAAATTTGGCGTGAAATTGGTACGACAGCCATCCAGGGCGCAAGAACACAGCGGTGATCCCTGAGTACTCAAGCTGGGGCTGGCGGACCCAGTGAGGCAGTGATTGTGGACCAGGGCAGAGCTCGCAGCCCAGGATCCCACAGAAGGGTCTGAGCCCAGGAGAACGGAACTACTGCCATTGTTCCCTCCCGTCCCCGCTCCCACCCCCCGCCCCCACATATAACGTCACAATCTAGCAACTGGGGTGCCCAGCCCCCAGTGAACACCTAAGGCTCCGCCCCCCACCATAACAAGAGTGACCAGACCGGGAAGGAGAGACAGGGAAAGACATAAGACATGTTTCCAACAGAACAGATCAGTCCCCCAGGACTCATCCTTTTGTGCGACCAAGAAATAGCCAATCTATCAGATGCACAGTTCAAAACACTAGTGATCAGAAAGCTCACGGAATTGGTTGATTTTGGGCACAAATTAGATGAAAGGATGCAGGTTACCATAAAAGAGATGCAGGAAGATACGCGGAGGAGAGCCAATAGTGAAAGGAAGGAATCTGAGTCTAAAAACAATACAGTGGACAAGAAGGAAGATAGAATCAACCAAGTAGAAAAGCATGATGAAATAAGAATTAAAAAAAACGAGGAAAAGCTTAAGAGCATCCAGGACACCTTTAAATGTTCCAACATCCGAATTATAGGGGTACCAGAATGGGAAGGGGAAAAGCAACAAATTGAGCATGTATTTGAACAAATAATAAAGGAGAACTTCCCCAATCTGGCAAAGGGAACAGTCTTCCAAGAAATCCAAGAAGCTCAGAGAGCCCCAAAGAAGTTGGACCCTAGAAGAAACACAGCAAGGCACATCATAATTACATTAGCCAAGGTAAAAACGAAGGAGAATCCTAGAAGCAGCAAGAGATAAGGGGACAGTCACCTACAAAGGAGTTCCCATCAGACTGTCAGCTGATTTCTCCAAAGAGACCTTACAGGCAAGAAGGGGCTGGAAAAAAATATTCCAAGTCATGAAAAAGAAGGACCTACATCCCAGATTGCTCTATCCAGCAAAGCTCTCATTTAGAATGGAAGGGAAGATAAAGTGCTTTTCAGATAAGGTCAAGTTAAAGGAGTTCATCATCACCAAGCCCTTATTTTATGAAATGTTAAAGGGATTTATCTAAGAAAAGAAGATAAAGAAAAGACATGTATAGTAAAAGGACAGCAAACTCACAATAATTAACAACCACACCTAAAGCAAAACCAAAAGAAACTAAGTAAACAACTAGAACAGGAACAGAACCACAGAAATGGAGGGCACGTGGAGGGCTGGCAGCAGGTGGGTGGGAGGAGGAGAGAGGGGGAAAAGGTACAGAGAATAAGTAGCATAAAATGTAGGTTGAAAATAGATAGGGGGAGGGCAAGAATAGTACGGGAAATGTAGAAGCTACAGAACTCATTAGTATGACACATGGACATGAACTAAAGGGGGGGAACTTGGGTGGGAGAGGGGGTACAGGGTGGAGGGGAGAGAAGGGGGGAAATGAGACAACTGTAATAGCATAATCAATAAAATATATTAAAAAAAGGCAAAAAAAAAAAAAAAGAAGTGAGGCTGGGATGGTTTGCTGTCCTCACAGGTTTAGGCCATCCTTGGTTTGTGGTATCTTGACACTGTGCAGTTCTTGGAAATTATAGTTAAATGCTTCTAAAAGCAATTTCTTTTGTCTGTCTGTAAGAAGTCCAGCATAAGGACACGGGTTGTGTGATCTGTTTAAGTAATGTATTCCTTCATCTAAACTGCAATCAAATAAGTACTTAATTAATGTTCATTTGATAAATTAAAGTGTAATCCAGTGTCCCTGTGTGAATCTAGGCTCTTCAAGGTCCTTTCAGGTGCCTCAGTTGTGTCTAGCAGAGAGATTTATATTTTGAGGACATATGCTATAGTTTTTTCCTCAATGTCCTCTGAAATGAAAGAACACTATATGGAGAAAAAGAGGAAAAAAGGATTAAGGGAGACCACTGAGCAAAGCATGAGAGGGAAAGATATATGGGCTTGTGGGGGATGAGTGTCCCTCTGGCACCCAGAGACCTGTTGACCTCACCTCATCCAGTTGGCCCAGGATCTGTCCTTTCCATCCACATACTCATAGCAGTTTCTCCCTTTGGCGATCTGTGTTTCAGAAAAGAAGTTAAAGACCTTTTATTTTTTGTGTGGGGTGGTAATAGTCAGGAGAATTATTTTACTCCACTGTCATCAAAGCTCTTCCAGCGTGCATGGGGATTCAACTGCCAGTTGTGACCTCATGGTATTTTTCTTACTCATCATCTACACATCTGAGTCTACTTGTCCAATCAGAGCAGGAGCCCCACAAGGGAGAAGCCACTCCTTTGTGTCTGCACCACTTTGTCCCACTTACCTTCTGATCCTTACACAGGAGCTCTGTGTTCATGTAAAGTCCAGTCAGTACACAGAGCTGACCATATTGTCCCCTCCATGTCTAGCATGTAGGAGGTGAGGTCCCTCCAAGCCTCAGAAGGAATGTGGGAAGGCAGAGGGCAGTAGAGAGGCAAATAGTTCTCACCAGCCAGGAGTATCTGCTCTTGGCTGCCTCTTCATCTTCTGTGATGTGTCCTTCATAAGGGCCAAAGTGCAGACCCACTGGCAAGTCTGCTGCCTCATTCCACACTCCAAGCCCAGCCTCAGGGATACAGGATGGCCCGATTCTCAACCCAGAGGGCAGGGTGAGGGCTGAGCGCTGGGGATGTCCCTTGTCCACTGCACTGTCCTTTACAAATGTAGGGGGTCCATGTACAGCACAGGTGTCGATGAAGAAGTTCTGACACTTCTCACAATCTGGAGGTGAGAGCAACAGGGGTTAGGGAAGGTATAGCACATATTCCTGGACACAAAGAGCTTCAGAGGGAGTCCCGCAGTCACATCATTGAGACTCAACCCTGTACTCCAGGTCACTAGAGGAAAGGAATGATTTGGGGACCAAAGGACTAGATGAAATTATTGTATCATAACATGCTTCTCAGTGAGTGTCACTTACAAAGGTAGTCATCATCTTGGGGATCGTTGACCTCTTGGTACACATGGCCCTTTCTTTCTCGTAGGCTGTACATCTTCATGTCAATCTCCTTTCCCCTGAGTTCTGAGTTTGAGAAGGACAGGTGAGCAAGGTTGGTGGGGTCTGGAGTGTTAGTTCCCATTTTGTCACATAACACAATCTCCTCCCATCAAATTATCGCCTGTCCCTTTGCATACTCTGGTATTTTACTGTCAACTATGGTTCAGAAGATGAAGACTCCACACTAACTACAGATGACTGATTCAATGTTAGTTTCTAGATCTTTCCATTACCAGGTTTAACTTGGCAATCTTCAATCATTTATAAAATATTTATGGATGCACATTATGTGTTAGGCATTGAGGAAAGGCCTGGGCACACAACACCAATAAAGTGTGGTTGCTATTATCACAGATGGATTTATTGGACAACTTGCATGTGTCACTTGTTTTAAATTTAATTTAATGTTTTCAAACAATATATGAGCGATGTTTCCCTATCTTCTCTTTACACTTCAGCATTCAGGAGCTCAGAGAATTTATAGGATTTACCCAAAGGTCCAGTGCTACCTTCAGTCTCAGCTTGGTCCAACAAAAATCCAGGCCCATCCAAACTCCGCCCCACATACCTAGATCATACTTATCAGCCCTTCTATAGGACTTAGAGGAAGTAAAGTTTCCAAATTACTTTTTCTTACCTGATTTTTGTCTAGTGTGCTTTCCAAAGGCACATGCTTCTCCAGGAGAGGACACTGGTTTCTGGACATGCTCTGAGTCACTTGCAGTCATCAAATTTGCTGTTTCTGACAATTCCTTCAAACTATATTCATTGCTTAATGGCACCCTGGATGTTGCCTTCAATGTAAGAGTCACATATTAAAAGATAACATATTTAAATTTTTAAGGCTTATGATACATTTTACATGCATGTCTTTAAAACTTCAACCCTTGGAAATACTAAGGGAGTATGACTATCAGAGGGGATAGGCCCAATGTGGGTAATGAATCCAAGATTAGAACTCATGCCTTATGACTCTTTTCTTTCAACTGTCTCTATAATATTGAGAGTGAAGGATATTGGGAAGAGAATAAAGAAATAGTTGGCAGAAACATATCTACACAATAAATAAAATAGTGATAAAATCTGCAATACCTTGGAAAGAATTTTGTACTTAAATTAGCCAGTTCCCACTAAATCTGTTTAAATAAGGTTGTATCAGTAGCTAATTGTCTTCAGTTTCATGATCTATAACATGCTAATTTTCAATGTTACAGTGAATGTGCAATTAAATAATGCTCACCTAAGTGTTCTGTGAATTGTGTAATACAGTATGAAGTGAGATTATACTCCTGATATCAATTTACCCCTTAGCTCTCTCCATATTTCAAATCTCACAGAAATTACCTTCAGCATTCATCGATCATCTTCCAATTCAATTTGTAACTGTGAAATCATTCATTCTGCAAATATTCAGGGGCCCTTAGGGGCCCTGATCTGGGCCTGTGACCTCTGAGAAGACTCTGGTATGGACCAGTCTCTCAAAGAGCTCACAAGGCAGAGGTAGGCTGGCTGAACAAATGATTCTAAGAAGGATTAGAGCGGCCTTCTCGGAACTCAGAGAAAGAGGCTGTTACTTCACATTACAAGAAATGGCATTTGAAATCAGTTCCAGACAGATAGTTTCTGTTGAAGAGTGTGTAACCTATACGAAGTCCTTAAGTCATTTTATTATTTGTTGTTTCTCAGTCATCAAACTTGAAGCTCCTCAGGGGTGGGAGATGCTCTTTGATTAGAGTGGGAGGCTGTGATCCTGGAGATTTTACTTTCTTCTTCATCTGGGACCATTCACTGTACAAACTGCCTACACATTGCATGCTTTCCTTAGTCAGAGGGTCTTAGTGCATGTCTCACTTCAGCATAGCAGAGACCTTTGGTTGAAAGCATCAGTCAGATGAATGATGTAATGACATATGGATAAAACAATGTAAACTTTAGAAAACTATGAAAGTTTATTTTTCTAATTTTTAAAAAGATTTTGTTTATTTTCTTGAGAGAGAGAGGAATGGAGGAAGCAAGAGAGAGAAACATTGGTCACTTGCCCCTTGCAAATGCCCCAACCAGGAACCTGGCCCACAACCCAGGCATGTGCCCTGGTCAGGAATCAAACTGGCAATCTTTTGCTTTGCAGGATGACACCCAACTGAGTCACGGTGGCCAGGGTCAAAGTATGAAAGTTTTAATGAGTTTGTAAGTGGCTTACAGAAAGAACTGTGGGTTAGATTGCACTACCACTGATGCTGTGATCTTAGACATCTAGTCAAACATTTCTATATCTCTGAAAGCTCACTTCCCTCATCATAAATGGTGACAGTTATAGTACATACCTCATTGGGTTGTTGTAATGTTTCAGTTTATTCACATAGAATTCTTAAAGTCTGAAACATTGTGAGAATGAAACAAATGGTAGTTACTGTTGTTGCTGTAGTTGTTAACTATTAAAATGATGATGAGCCCTGGCTGGTGTGGCTCAGTGGACTGAGCACTGGCCTGCAGACTGAAAGGTCACCAGTTCCATTCCCAGTCAGGGCACATGCTTGGGTTGTGCAGCAGGTCCCACACTTGGGGGCGTGTGAGAGGCAACCTATATATGTGTGTTTCACACATGTTTCTTTCCCTCAATTTCTTCCTCCATTCCCCTCTCTCTAAAATATTGATAAATAAAATCTTAAGAAAAGGATGATAATGTTGGACAGTGTGTTGAAGAGACCAGGAAAGGAAGGTAGCAATTCCTAGGATACTTTCTACATTTTCCTACTCTTACCTGTATTTCTATCCATGAGGAAAATTTTGTTGTCAACAGGATTTGGGAAATACTCACCTTCTGGCGTTTACTCTGTTTCCTTCTGAAGGCCACCCAGGAAGGTTTCACTGAAAGATGATGAGAAATCAGTGTTTTGGTGGGTAAATGTTTCCAAAAGCTGGAGATTCTTACTAGGGAGACAGAATTTTGAATGAGAGTAGTCCAAGAACAATCCCAGGATGATTGCAAAATGTTTTCTGAGGTCTCATTAAGGCCTAGGCTTCTATTGGGGCCATCCACTAATTTCATTAGAATGAGAAAAAAAAATAGACAAAGTGTCATCTATACTTCACTCTGTTCATAAGGCATCTGTTACATTTATTAAAACATACATTGGCCTCTTCTGACAAAAAAGTAGTAAAAGTAACTGCACAGAAACTCCATGTCTTCAACATAACCCTTTCTCTGTGCCATTTTCTTCATTCACACTGGCCTTGTCAGGGCTAAGGGCACCAGGACCACCTCGCCTCCTTTCTCTGGTATCCTCCCCCCTATGCACATACTGGCCATCCACGCCTGCCCTTAATCATTAGACCCTGGTCAGCATCCACAGTCTGTTGACCACAGAAACAGAATTCCAGTCACATTAAAGATCACAGCTTGACTTCAGCTGTGTTTCAACCCCAGACCCATGAAAGTGGACGGACCCCACCCACCGAACACTCATGCTACTGGACAGAATGGCATCAGGAAATGATGCAGTGATCAACGCCCCCCGACCCTGGCCCTCCCCTCAGCTCCTGAAATCACCACAGTTAATACTGTTCCCCATCTGTCTCCATGCAGGCCATCGCGCAGCCAGGTGTGGGGGCACTCCTCACTGGCCAGACTTGCCTCCCTCTCTTGTGATGAGGACTCTTCTGAATTAGTTATTTCTTATTCACTGGTATGTTCTTACACATTTACCGCTTATTAATGCATCTATAAATATGTATGATTATGTTGCACACTTGAAAGTTTATCGGAATAGCCCCTCACTGTATGATACACTGTTGTGCATCTTGCTTGTTTGCTGCACCAGCAAACCTGTTTCCTGGTTATGTCTGAGATGCAGCCTGACCTAAACCAGGTCCATGTCAGGAGGGCAGCTCTGGCTCCTCCTGCTACTCACCTTGCTGCCCTGGAGTCCATTCTTCATCAGAGTCCTCAGGGTCCTCCTCCTGGAGCTGGGTGGCCTGCCTGTGGTGGTGACACATAAAAGCTGGTCGAGGGACCCTGAGACCTGGAAAGAGACAAAACCTTTGTCCTGAAAGCAAAGAGCATGGAGGAGGAACAAGCCCCAGGAAGCCCATGTGATTGGCTCTGATGGGATGGGAGAGTAAAATGAGTTGCTGTGAGCGCTGCACTGTCATCCCCAGTCCTGCTCTGACGCGAAGGAGCAAACTCCCCCATTGGTGTCCATGCCGGAGGGAGCTGCAGGAGCATGAAACCGCCTGAGCCGGGGCCAGCCCAGCAGCCTGTTGGGTTCACCAAGCTCCTGGGCCCAGCGCCTGCACACTACCTAAGCTGGTGAGCATGTCGAAGTTCCTCTTCACATTCCGGTACCGGCCTTTCTCCCAGTCTCCCATCTCTGCCCACTCCTCCCTGGAGAAGTAGAGGGAAACATCTTCCAAAGCTTCTTCAGCCTGGAGAGGAGGAGTGGAAATACAAGTAAGTCAGTGATGCAAGTGAGAACACGCGGCGGGCCCCCTCTGCCCCTGGATGCAGGGAGCAGGCGGGGCCTTGGTGGTCTTTGTGCCATAGGCACTGAGCCCAAGCAGTGAGCCCGTGTCTCGGTCGAGATCCAGTCCCTGAGTGGCCGTTCCTCTGGGGTGTGTCCTGGGGACCTGCTCGCACCCTGGGCCTTCTCCCACTTCCCTGACCGGCCCTGCGACACCGAGGCCCGTTTCCCCCACCAGCGCTCTGCATTCACACAGCGAGGGTCACCCTGAGGGCCCGGCATCTGCGGAGCTCTGTCCCCAGCCCTGTCCCCACCCTTCCCGCCCACCCCTCAGCTCACCTGAGGCTTCCGCCCTGTTTGCCCCGCTTCTCCCTCAGGGCGCTCCTGCGGATCCCCGTCGGGGTTCATGGTGTCCGAGCCCGGAGTTGAAGCGCGCCTGAGGAAAGAGAAGGCACTGAGAGGAGCGAACGCCCTTCTCCCGGTTGGCAGGGCAACCGAGAGAGGGGGACGCAGGTCTGCCGGAGGGGGGACCGGGTGGGCGGAGCCGCCTGCAGACCCCCGCGTTGGCTGCAGGGGGGGGGGGTGCGCCCTTGTTCCTGGCCCTACCCACCGCTCCACCACAGCGCAGGTTCCGCAGGCTCCGCAGGCTCCGCGCTTTTTCCAGGGAAGGGCCGGGAGGTGCCCCCCAGGGGTCTGGAGAAGCCCGCAGGAGACGCGGGCGCAGTCTCCCGTAGACCGCTGTCTCTCAAGCTGAGAGTCTTGGGGTCCCTCAGGACACGATCTGTGTCTTCCAGGCTGAGGACACTCAGAGTCCCTGGGGGAGAGGGCCAGACCTCCGCGGCTGAGGAGGGTTGGGGCGTCTCATCGAGAGGCTTCAGGGTCCCCACCACTGAGTTAGTTTCCAGGAGGACGGCATTCGGGGTCTCTGAGTTTGGGGAGATTTGCTCTTTCCGGGCGAGCTGCAGGACGGGTGCCCTGAGGTGAGGGGAACTGGGGTTTTCAGGCTGTTTGCGGGTCTAAACGTTGGGGGTTAGGAGACGTAGCGTCCACCCGGTTAGGGGACATGGGCCTCTCCATGCTGAAGGGGTTTGGGCCCCTCAGGATGAGGGCATCTGGGGTGTCTTAGGCTGCACTTGGAAGGTCTCGAGCTAAGGGTTCTACATGGCAGGGCTCCCCGCTTACCGGTCAGTCTCCCGGGGCCTCTGCCGCGCTGCCCACCTCAGTGCAAAGTCCTCACGGACCTCCTGGGTTTCCCGCCCTCGGGAGGAAGGAGGGGGTAGGGAGTGTGGTTCCTACCTGGATAGCCTTGTGGGAGCAATCCGCCAATCAGTGCTGCGATCCCAGGGCACTGCCCACCAATGGGCGGCTAGAAGAAACTGAAGGGGCGGAACAGGGGGCGGAGCCCCCTCGGTTGAGGCTGGCCAGCCGAAGACCGCCCCACCCCGCGGGGATTGGCTGCTCTGGGTCTCCCGACCGCGGTCAGCATCCTGCAGGAAGGCCAGGGTTCCGTGGTTTCTGTGGCTAGTTTTCAAGCGGCTGGTTTGGGACTCAGTCCGCAGGAGCTGGGAGCCTGGAACCTGGAGCCGGGCCGATCTTTAGGGTGAACGTGGCCCTCCTGCCGCTTGACAAAGTGTCTTTGTTTCACCAGACAGTAGCCGGGATCCCGAACTTTCGTCTAGGTCCAACAGTGCCCACCCTCGTCAAAGCAAGAGCTGCATAACCAGTGATGACGTGGTCAAGACTGCACTGCATTCGGGAAACTGTTGTCAGTAAATTCTGATCACACAATTTGCAGATATGAAAGAAGTCCTGTAGGGTTCAAACATTGAAACACAACAAGTAAAATAATACGTGCACTGGAAAACACACTGGGAGAATTTCACATCTCAAAGAAGCGGCATTATGAATAAGAAGTATGTTTAAGTAAATCAGGTCTAAAAACATTTCAGAAATAGGAAGACGAGATAAAACCAGATAAAACTAAATACATTTTTAAAACGCTGAGAACACCTACAAGTATTTTGCATAAAAATAAGATACCGAGTTTGAGAACAGGGGTCCACAGAGCAGGGTCAGTGTAGCTGCTACTGGCCTTCTTAAGTGCACCGAGTGCCTCTGCTCCTTACTTCGTTTTCAGCATGTACATATAACTTCATTTCCATGGATTGGAAATAAGCCAACTAACTAATTATTACTGTGAAACTGCATAAAGGGAAACCACACTAAAGTGGAGTTGGGGGTCAGTGGGGATGCTGTCACATAGTACCACCTGGGGTCAATTACAAGAAAAATTATCTGTCACAGGCCCCAACATGAAGATGTACCATGTGCCCCCAGGAGAAACCCACTCCCCATCAACTCAGCCAGAGAGAAACCATCGTCACCCCGAACTGACGCTTTTCTGCACTGCACTTGCATTTGAAATGATCCCTTCCAACTTCTTCCTTTTGTTACAGGGTGCAGCCAAGAGGGGTGATCCCAAATAGGCATTTGAAATGGGGTCCAGAACTCAAGGTGTCCAGGAGATTTTAAGGTGTCTTCACCCCTTCCCCCACAGGTGTGAGTTGGGGGAAGGGGCACCCAGAGCAAGAACATGCAGGGCAGCTTTGCAGTTAATCCATGGCATGGTCATTTAACATACTTACAGCCTTTGTCTGGTTGCTTAGATATGTTAAGTAGCTGTGGCCATGCTCAGAGCCAAGGGAATGGAAGTAACTACCCTACCAAGGTGTAACTGGGGGGCAGGTGCCCTGAGTTACAGCGCTTGCGTGGGAGCTTGGAGATGATTGGCTCCAGGACTTGGGGCCACACCTGCCCAGACCCAGGATGGTGACCAGAAAAGCTGGAGAAGACAGCAGATTGAGGGCAAGTGTGCCGGAGTGTAGGAGGAGTTGGAAATGGGGCTGCAGAGGAAGGCGGGTCTGGGGATTTAAAACCCAGAGGCGTCAGCCATTGAGAGGGAGAACCATGCAGCTGTGGAAGTGCAGAGAGGATCACAGCCCTGAGAGGGAGAACCACACAGCTTTAGCAGAGTGGCGACCCCCCCCGCCCCGCAGCCATTGTGCAGGGGGAGAAGCTCGCGGCTTTGGCAGAGTGGGGACCCCCACAGCTTTAGAAGGGGGAACCACCACCTGGTTTTAGCAGAGATCCCAGCGACTCAGCGGAGGATGCCGGGAACCCAGGGAGGTCTCCCAGTCGAGATGGAGTACTAACTGGGAAGAACCAGAGGACTGCCTGAGCCATGGACTTCTATTTCCTTTCCTGAGATACGGTACTCTGGACTGGGCAAAGGGGGAAGGAAGGAAGGACTGTGTCTGTTTGTGGTGTTTTAAGGGACTTCGAGATTTTGGTGAAGACATTAGGTCACTACTTTAAGTCTGTATAGCATTAAATAAACGTTTCCTTTCCTTTGCACGAATCTCTGGCATTGAGAGACTTCTTTCCTCTGGCGGCGGACATAATGGACCCCGGGGCTTCTTTCAATAATAGTATATTGTCCCAGGCCCCCCTTGTTTGTTCTGTAACACTTTCTCCCTGTAAAATAACGTTCCTCTTCTTTACTTGCGGAGCTTGCTTATGATTTTTGCTACAGCTTACTTGTCCTAAATTGCAATTTTTTACTGTTTCTGAATAAACCCATTATCTGCTGGTAAAATAACTGACTGCTATATTTTTAAGGTCAACATAATGTGGTGGCCTGTATGGGGATCCAGAGGACTCCTGACATGTCTGAGGCTGATGAGAAGCAGGTGCAGTGTCCTTGCTCTGAAAGACTTGGGGAAGGGTCCTTTGGTGTAGACTTCCTGGTGATCATTTTGAGAATAGCCATCCAGAACTAATATCCTCCTACCCTCTGACCCAGAAATTCCACTTTTCAAAATTTTCTCCTAGTAGCCTTGGCCTGGTATTTCAGTTGGTTAGTGTCCTGCCTATATGCCAAGGTGGTCAGTTCATTCTCCAATCAGGGCACATACGAGAAGCAACCAATGAATGAATACATAAGAGGAATAACTAACTCTCTCTCTTTCAAATTAATAAATGAAATGAAAAGAAAAGCATTAAAAATTTTCCCCTAGGTATGCTTCCCTGTGTATGAAATGAAGTATGTTTAATATATTTCATGGAACACCTATATAATAACAGATATAATTTTAAAGTTTTCAGTAGAAAAGAATTTGTTAAGTTATGGTTTGCTCAAACTGTGAAATATTATAGAACATTAAAAATGGGTGAGAATATATGATATTTCATTAAAAAAATAAAACCCAGTGAGGTGGTTCTAATGGATTTTAATAGAGTAACTTCCAAGTAATGTTATTATGTGAGAAAAGTATCCTGCAAAAACAAATTATGTTACAAACAAACAAACAAACCCGGGCAGAGGATGTGCTGAGAGGAGACACAGGGACTAGTCACTGGGCCACGTGGAGGGGAAAACTTACTTTTCCTTCATGTCATTTGGAATGTTGTGTCATTTGATTTCTCCTTTACTTAAAATAAACCTATCTATAAATATTTTTTGTAGATAAAATAATGGATGAGAAATAGTTGGTTATATATATATGCATTTAAAAATGACTCAACAAAAATTCTGCACATCCTCATTAAATCCAGTGGCCCATGCTGCCTTCCTTATCCGAATAGTCCGTTGACCACCCAAAGTGTCCAATTTGCATCCAAAACTCTATTCCAGCAGGAACATTCCACAGTGCAAAATATATTGTGTTACACAGTCACTGTTAGTTTGAGAGATGTAAACCATTTATTATCAAAACAATGATTTTTATATTTAAGTATTTGATCCAAGGTTGTTTATAGAAATGCTATTAAGAATATTTTAAGCCCTGACTAGTGTGGTTCAATTTTTGTGTCTGGCATGTGGCAACTAGGGTTCATTGCCTGGCTCCAACTCTGGAGTCTGGCTGTAGGGTCTTGGTTATGGATCTGGGTCCTGTCTCGAGTCTGTGGCCTGGGTTTGAATCTATTTGGCTATTAGTCTCAGATCTGGGGTCTCTTTGGCTTTGGGGTCTCTGGGTTTGTGTGCGGGGTCCATGTGCATTTTTATGAATTTATAGTCATTAGCTCCAAGTCAATGCCAAGAGGAGTCCCAAGGTTGGGGTGTAGTGAAGAAGGAAACTTTAGTGCAAATACCTCAATTTTACTACAGAATGGCCATGAGTACAGAAGGATTGTTAAGAAGCTCAGTAGTGTTATAGCTGAATTATGAAGCAGCACACTATGTATCAACTCATTTGTGCTACTTCTTAGTTACTTGGCATCAGGGCTGTGAGGAGGCCCTGAAGTGAGGCAGCCCTGGGGCAAACTCCCTCTCCCGCTGAGCTGCTTAGGGCTTCTCTGCTTATGTACAGGACTGCTGGTCTAGACCTTCATTTCCTCTTTGCTGGGCTGCATTTGCACATGAAGAAGTGAAAACTGGAAAAGGAGCCCCTTTGAAGATGAGATCAGGCTGGGCGAGCAAAGAAAAGGCCTCTGGTGTTGTCACCACAACAGGCTAGATTATTATTATTTTTAAATTATGCTGTATTTTCCTGTAGTACTTTTTAAGCCCAGACTGAGATGACCTTTTTGTTGTTGCTGCTGCTTACTTAAATTATATATAAAAATAAAAATAATAGAAAATCGTACCCAAACAGGTAATATCTGCCGTTATATTAAGTATATATGCTTCTAAAGAAGGTGGGGGTATGTGGGCTGGGATGGGTGAGGACGGCAAAAGGGAAAAGTTGGGAAACTGTAATAGAATAACAATAAAAAATAATTTAATGAAAAAAAGCATATACCCTTCCAGACATCACTACTTGGATATTTCCATTCTTCCACTTTCTCTGGATTTAATTTATTATTCCGGGTCTGTAAGATGATGCAAAATTTGTGAATTTTCAGGCTTTGTCCCTAATGTGTGGATTTATCAATACACTTTTCCCAGTGTTTTTTTTATGTACTATTTTTATTATCATTCATTTCAAATTATTTTTTAACTGCAATTATAATTTAATTTGCGGGTTATTCAGAAGTGTATTTTATAATTTGTAAATATGAGGACTTTCTAGTTATCTTTTATTACTGATTACTAGTTTAGGTGCAATGAGAGCAAGAAACATACTTTATATAATTTCAATCTACCTTTGATATATATTTTTTGAAACTTGATCCTTAGTACAGTAAGGTCAATGAAAAAAGAAAAAAAAGCTCCTAGTGTGATTGTCTGCTGCCATCTTGTGTTCATTTTCAGAATAACACATTAGTGCAGGTCAGCAGGAAAAGTAGTTTATAGTCGGTTGGTTCTTTGTGA